CTGTTTGCCTGGAGCTCAGCTTTAAAGTTGTCAGTCATTATTTTAGTAGCAGATATCATTTAGCCTGTAATTGCATTGTATTGTAAATGACTGCTCACACTAATATATTGGATGAAAATGAGCATCTGCAAACACTGGGTTTCCAATAAATTGGAAAACTATTTCAGTTGATATCTCAGATTACTAGACATTAGTGACCAATTCAGTTCATTGGTACTTTTTGAATCTAAAAATAGTATGACAATCCAACCTAATAAGTACAAACAGTTGGACAGATGACACAATCAGGCTATACCAGGGTTAAAGTGAATTTAAACCAATGGGTTATGACTCCTCTTCCACCCCAGCTTGTTACCCTGTGCCCAAAACTATCAACAAGACCCTTCTAATGTTTTGCCTGGTGGCAGGGTGCAGGTTATTCCAAGAACTAGCCACTGGCTGCTTCACTTTTTCTTTTGCCGCCACCAATGACAGGATCCATGCAAGGCAGATGCACTAATTGACTTTACAAGAAGGGACCGGCACTCTGCCAGGCAAGCTGATCAAGGAAATGGTCAGGTAAGCCGATCTTTCGGCTGATAACTCCTGCCATCTGGCAAGCATTTAAAGGGTCTTGCTGGTCCTTTTTCAGTGGCTTAGTGGTTAACACGTATGCCTTGCTGCAGTGGGTTCCTTGGTTCAAATGGTTTGTCAAAAAAATGGATAGAAAAGTCTTTCAAGTATATGGTTTCCATGGAGCTGGCCCATAGAATCACCATGATTGACACAATGGAAAAGATACAGTGTATACATACATACTCGCTGCTTTGAGCACTGAAAACCAGGGGTGCATGTCCGAGGTGCCAAGACTTATGCCGGCCATACATGGGTCGAAATTCAACCGATTTTTCGTTTGAAAATCGGACCTAAGAATAATCGGCCGATTTTCGTTCCGTTAGTGGGTCAATGGCACCATTTTAGTGGTTCCTCCCCTTTTCGGTGATTGGGCATGTTGGAAAATTCGCAAAAAACGACCGATTTTTGACTCAATGATGGTCAAATCGTACAATCGTTTTTCCGAAAAGAATATGTGCATCAGCCATGACCTGGAAGGAACAGAAGTTTCGCATGTTACATGGGGTGAACTTTATGACTTGGTCGGCCGATTTTCGAAATCATTGATGGCACCATTGGATTACCGAGGGAACAACGTTTTTGATTTTCGGACGAAAAATCGTTCGGAATTCGACCCATGTATGGCCTACATTAGGCTCCATGCACACGGGGTGTTTTGATAACGCTGGGAACATTGGCTGTGTAAAATCACAGTAAAAACGTGCGTTTTTCAGCTTTTTTTAAACGTTTTTGCATTACCGTTCAGCTGCGTTTTGCAGCGTTTAGTGGCGTTTTCCCACGTCTTTCTGCGTTTGCATTCTTAGCTGGGTTTTTTTTATGCATCTTACCGCATTTTTCAGTGTTAGAGCATTTTTACAGCTAAAAAACTCCTAAAACTCTAGAAACTCACTAGTCCTGGGGTTTTTTTCCAGCCAAAAAACGTTGATTACAGTCGATGTGTGCATGAACACATAGTATAACATGCTGGGGGGTTACTGGCTGTAGAAAAAAATGTCAAAAGCCAACAACAGCCGCTGTAAAAACATCCAGTGTGCATGAGGACTAAAGAAGATATGCATGGATCCAAATTTGACCTTTTCAGCAGGGACCAGCCAAATTTCAATGCATGTATGGGCACTTAGGTTCTATCGATGAACTTCTGTACAACCGTCCTGTTGGATTTTTCCTGCTTAATCAGCACTGCAGGCTAAAGCCTGCAACGCTGATCAGTGTATTCCAACAGTAGGGAAGTCTCCTCACTGTCATAATACGATAGATCAGGGGGGAGGATTCCACCATCCATCATCTATGGGTTGCTATGGGCCGGTTTATTTCATTTAGGTTTGCTGAAACTCATTTGAATATCAGAAGCACATTATTGCATGCAGACAACTAGAAGAGTCTTGCTAGAAGATCTCTGTGCAATTGATCACTTTTTTAGAGAGAAGAAACAGACTTTTCAATGTGTATATAGTATGGTGGCCAGGTCAAGGTTTATGTGATTCTTGGTAGCAGGGCTGGGACTAGGAGGGGACAGAAGGGATACTGCCCTGGGCGCAGTGTCTTTATGTGTTGGTGGGAGGCACTATGAGGTAGTAGTCCACGGAGTACATTCACCAGAGCTTTCAACTCTCACCCAGTTCATCCTTTACTGGCACCTTTCTGGCTGGGGGGGCTACCCTACATGACAGAAGCAGTCCATGAAAAGGAGAAGTGATGTCCCCAATAGTGAGGTTCATTGTCTGCCTAAGTGGCATTCTTGAGGGGGTGAAGAAGGTTGCCCGCTCAACATTTTTTTTTCTGCACCTTGAAACTGTCATCATGGAACCCAGAAGATGATCGAGTGCTCCCACACCAGAGGGGAAAACTTTGGACCCATATTGGTGATCCTCGGTGTGCTGGTGACATTTTTTCCTTGCTGATTTTGTTCGGTTCCAGCCGGCGGTCACTGCAGCCCCCACTTATACACACAGCCATTTTTAACGCAGGAACGTGTGCGTTTGGAACATACACTCCCACACCAGAGGGGGGCGCAATTTGACATCTTCACCCTGGGCACCCTATCCCGGCACTGCCTGGTAGTATTCAAATCTGGGAGTACGACAGCTCCAGAACAAAATATTGAAAGTGTTCATTCTCTGATGCCATATCAAATAATGCAGGCCATACATGGGTCGAATTCTGAACAAATTTTCTTTAGAAAATCGGAAATTTAGTGTAATCCGATGGTGCCACCATTGATTTTGAAATTCAAACAACCAAATCTTCAATTCCACCTCATGTTACTACAGAAAAGAATTTTCGTGGCCAAGAATTTTCTTTTCTTTCCAGGTCACGGCTCATTTCTCTTTCGTTTATATTTCTCACATGATTCTCCCATCATTGATTTGCAATTCGTTCGTTTTTCATAAAATTTCTAACATGCCCGATCACTCAAATTTGATGGTTACACGAAAATCAGCTATTTTTACGACCCACTAATGGTGCAAAATTCGAAAAAAGAAACAAAAATTCTTTGAAAAGATTTTTGAAAGAAAATTCTTTCGGAAATTCAACCCATGTATGGCCGGCTTAATGCAGGCCATAGACGGGTCGAACATCGGCCAATTTTTCAAACGATAAAAATCGGTCATTTGTTCGGCCGACGTTACCACCAACGAATAAAAAAATTATCCGACTAAATCATAAAGTTCACCCCACAACTTCTGTCCCTTTCAGGTCACAGCTCATGCGCAGATTTTTTATTGTTAAAACGATCGTCCGATTTGGCCATCATTGCTGTGAAAATCGTCCGATCGTCCAAATCGGCATCAAATTTCCCAACATAACCGATAATCTGAAAGTGCAAAATACATGAAAAACGGCCGACGAACTAATCCACTAACGGTACGAAAATCAGCCGATTTTTCTTTCGGCCGAAAAATCGGACGACTAACGACCCATCTATGGCCTACAGAAGTCCAGATGAGGTTAACCAAAGACAGAAGGCAAATGCCTTACCAGAAATGATGGTTCTGCATCATATAAAACTGTATGACTGGACAAAGCATTTTATTCCTAGTGTCATGGAGTACTGGATATTTTCTTTGTTAGTCCTCATGCACACGGGACGTTTTTTTGTTTGGCTTTTGATGTTTTTTTCTACAGCCAGTAAACCCCCCAGCATGTTATCCTATGTGTCCATCCACGCATAGACTGGAATCAGTGAGTAGTGGGTTTCTAGAGGAGTTTTTTAGCTGTAAAAATGCTCTAACAATGTGGTAAATCACGGTAAACACTGCAAATCTGCATTTTTGGATGTTTTTTTTGACCCCCCCCAATTTTTTTTTTGTAAAAAAAAAACTTTAAATAAACACTAAAACCCACAAATACCACAAAAACCGCAATATCTCCATTGGCTCCCGATTGCCCAACGCATCAAATTCAAACTGTTAACTCTGACCTACAAAGCCATTCACAATGCCGCCACAAACTACATAACTGACCTGATACCCAAGTACCACCCTACCCATGCCCTCCTCTCCTCACAGGACCTCCTACTCTCTAGCTCCCTGGTCTCCTCCTCCCACGCCCGATTGCAGGACTTCCCCAGGACTTCCCCCATCCTCTGGAACTCCCTACCCCAATCCATCAGACTATCGCCTACCCTCCTCACCTTCAGGCGCACCCTGAAAACCCTACTCTTCAGGGATGCCTACCGCAACCTCACCTAACACCCAACCTCACCTAACAACTAACCTCCTCCACTCCTCCTGTGCCACCTTCCCCTCCCTCCTAGATTGTAAGCTCGAAAGAGCAGGGCCCTCAAACCCCTCGTGTATTGTACTGTTACTGTCTTGTCTCATGTTCTGTCCCCCTTGCTATTGTACAGCTCTGAGCAAACCCTTTGGCGCTATATAAATACTGTATAATAATAATAATTCCTGAATTTACATCTGGCCATGACACATGAATGGAGAAAGAAATGACATAAATTACATATTTCTTGGTCACAGCGTTTCTCAGATATTCTTAAAAAGCTCTGTGAGTAATAAGAAGGACACATATCTGTGATGGCTTCCACATGAACCTGTACACAGGCTTACTACGGGAAGTGATGCTCAGATTGGTGGTGTTATCACAAATGTCAGGCACGGCATAGGTGGCTTAAGGTTTTGTGATTCTGAAGCAGCTGATCTCTGACCACACACGGAGTGCTTTGGACGATAGAGGGATTAGAGAAAGCGATAAGCTTTCCTGAACAGATGGATTTTCCGGGACAGCTTAAGTGTGGTTGGATAGCCCAAATGGAATGAGGAAAGTATTTCACATGACAGGTACAAGACAAAATAAATCCTGGAGATGGACCTAAGAGGTGTAAATAGGTAAAAAACAGAAAAGATTGTCTTATAAAATAGTGCTGATACCTGTAGTTCCCCATGTGTCTGTTTTCATACTCTTCCTTGGATATCTGTTTACGGACCTGAGCGAGTCGTTCTTTCTACAAAACAGAAAAAAAAACAAATTCCTACATAGAGATACATTTGAATACATGGGTTAGACAAAAAAAATGGAAATATTACATGATTGGCAGTTGTGAAAGTGATGACACGTTTCGTGTTGAAAGCGGAAGTGATGTAACACTCTTTTGCTTCCGCTGTGTGATGAGACACCTTGCTAACAGGACAGAAGCTTCACTTTCATCATTCACTGCATGCTCTGCTTGTAATATGGAGTCAGGTCAGAGCTTACTGAGCTTTAAACAGGGCAGATTGTTGGGGCAGCTTAGCTGTGACTGAAGTTGGCTATTTATTTGTCGTGTCGCGAGGTACAGTTTCAGAAGTTATATTGGCATACACAGTTTCCGGGAAAACGTCGTCTGAGAAGCGTAAGTGCGGTCGACATGGTCAACTGACTAAAAGAGGCAAAAGGACATTGCACAGGATTGTGACCTGGAATAAGAAACGACTGCTGCAAAAGTGACTGCAGAGCTCAATCCCAGTCTTGTGAAGACTGAGATCGAGCTCTGCAGTCACTTTTGCAGCAGTTGTTTTCTTATTGGACCTGGTAATTCAGATGAAAAGAGATCAGACTGACCATTAAAGAAAATACTACTCACAGAAATGTCCTTTTTTGTCCTTTTGGTCAGTTGCTTCTCAGACGATGTTTTCCCGGAAATGCCGTTATAACCTTTGATACTGTACCTCATGACACAGAAAATAAATTGGCAGCTTCAGTCACAGAGGCACCAGCTAAGCAGTACCAACAATTTGCCCTCTTTGAAGCTCAGTAAGCTCTGACATGACTCCGTATTACTAGCAGCGCACTCAGTGAATGACAAAAGTGGAGCTTCCCAACTGTTAGCTAGGAGTCTCATCACAAAGCGGAAGCAAAAGAATGTTATGTCATGTCACTTTCACACCTGCAAATCATGTAGTGTTTCCATAGTTTTTGTCTAACGTCTGTATATTAATCAGAAAATGCTAACAATAAATATATACTACATATCCCTTAGATTGTAAGCTCCACGAGCCGGGCCCTCACATTCCTTCTGTACTGAAATGTATTGTAATTGTACTGTCTCCCTTATATTGCGCTGTGCAAACTGTTCCTGTATAATAATAATACATTAGCTGTCAAGAGCGAGAGATCAACTCATGGTGAAGAGGGTGATGGCGTGCCCTAAGACTTCACTCTTACACACCGGTCACATCGGGTGCGATTTGGCATGCGATTTGCATGCCATGCGACTTGCAAATCGTATGCCAAGTCGCACCCTATTGTTCGCTTTTAGAGCGGTCATATTTCTAAAGTAGAGCATGCAATACTTGTGTTACGATTTGCATAGACATCTGTGTCAGATGTCTTGCAAATCGCAAATGAAATTGGCAGGTCACCCGATTTTGAAATCGTGTGACTTCACTGTAAGTCGCATGATTTCAAAATCGGCTTTGATGTGACTGGGGGCTTACTAATCCTCCCTGTAGCCCTGAATTCAACCCTAATACTAATACTAACTCTACAACCTACTCTCCCCACAACCTAATAGTAAGCCTCACACTAACCCTCCCTGTAACAATAAACCTTCTGTATTACACAAACATTAACCCTCCCTGCATTCCTGGCACTATCCTTCCCTATAAGTCCCCGGTCACGCTAGGTGCGACTTGGCATTCAATTTGCATGCCATACGACTTGTAAATTGCATGACAAGTCGCACCCTATTGTCCGAAATTACAGCGGTCATATCGGTTCCGTTCTGACTTGGTCAGAGCCACACCGATTTCTAAAGTAGTACATGCACTACTTTTGGTGCGATTTGCATAGATATCTGTATCAGATGTCTTGCAAATCGCACCTCAAATCGACATGTCATCCGACTTTGAAATCGTCCAACTTCACTTTAAGTCGCACAATTTTAATGTCAGGATCGGTGTGACCGGGGTGTATCTCTAAACCCCCGGTCACACTGGATGCAAATTGACATGCGATCTGCAAGCCATGCGACTTGCAAATCGCATGCCAAGTCACACTCTATTGTTCGCAATTACAGCGGTCATATTGGTGCTGTTCCGACTTGGTCGGAGCCACACCAACTTCTAAAGTAGTACATGCACTACTTTGGTGTGATTTGCATTGACATCTGTGTCAGATGTCTTGCAAATCGCACCTGAAATCGACATGTCATCCGACTTTGAAATCACGCGATTTCACTGTAAGTCACATGATTTCAAAGTCGGGATTGGTGTGACTGGGGACTAAGGCTTCGTTTAGACTTGCGGTCGGGGAGCAGCAAAATTGAACAGTTGAGATGCGTTTTTGATGCCCGCCAACTGCCATCCCCCCCCCCCTTTAGTTCAGCAGGCAGCAGACAGGGATGTTTACATGCTGCGCCTGCGATGCTTTACACTCGTAGCAAAGTAGTGATTAGCGGGGGGAAAGCCCAATGAACGCCACACATTCAAGTTAATGGGGAAGCGCAGCAAAGGCATCGCATCGCATTCCTCGCCGCATGTCAGTATCCTCTTTAGCACGATCCAAACGTGGAGCGGGCTTCAGAGACAAGAGATTTAGACGCATGTTTAATGCTACCCTAACACTTAGGCCAGCCAGACGGTTTTTGCTTTATTTTCGCTTAGCCAAAAAACAAACTGATTCCTCCATCCACACAAACAAGGTGGATGGAAGAGTCCCCCCTGCTGGGAACTTGTATTGTGACAGTGAGACTCTCAGAATACACTGATCAGTGGCTGTGGTTGATTAGCTGCAGCTGCAGATCAACAAAAGTTTTCTAGTTTGTCTGTTCTAACGATCGATTTCTCTTGAACTAGGATGGCCACACACAGACTGAAATTTGGCTGGTCTCTGCTGAACAGGCCAAATTCTGATCCATCTATGGCAAGCTTTAGGCTCCGCTCACACTGCCTCAAATTGGAATCTGACTTGTGAGACTGCAAGTCGCATGCAGGGGCGGACTGACCATTTGGAAACTTGGGCACTGCTGAGGGCCGGGGTCAGTAGGGGGCCCCACAGGGGCGGACTGACCATTCGAGCACTCGGGCACTGCCAGAGGGCCCGGGGTCAGTAGGGGGCCCCCATGAAATGCCCCTGTTACCTTTTTTATAGGCTTTGAGTGTGGGCAAGGACACATGGGCCCCATGATCCCCTATTGCCCAGGAGGCCCCATGAGTTGTCAGTCCGTCCCTGGGGCCCCATGAGATGCCCCTGGTACCTTTTTCATAGGCTTTTTTGAGTTTGGGCAAGGACACAGGGGCCCCATGATTCCCTATTGCCCGGGGGCCCCATGAGTTGTCAGTCCACCCCTGGGGCCCCATGAGATGCCCCTGGTACCTTTTTCATAGGCTTTTTTGAGTTTGGGCAAGGACGCAGGGGCCCCATGATCCCCTATTGCCCGGGGGCCCCATGAGTTGTCAGTCCACCCCTGGGGCCCCACAAGATGCCCCTGGTACCTTTTTCATAGGCTTTTTTAAATTTGTGCAAGGACACAGGGGCCCCATGATCCCCTATTGCCCGGGGGCCACATGAGTTGTCAGTCCGCCCCTGGGGCCCCATGAGATGCCCCTGGTACCTTTTTCATAGGCTTTTTTGAGTTTGGGCAAGGACGCAGGGGCCCCATGATCCCCTATTGCCCGGGGGCCCCATGAGTTGTCAGTCCGCCCCTGGTCGCATGACATGTGAGACCACAAGTCGCATGACATGTGAAATCCCATGTTAGTCAATGAGAGCTGTCTTAATTAGTACAACTGAAGTCGCTGCAACTGTACAAAGTTTCCTGTACTACTTCAAGGCAACTTCTAGCCGACTTGTGCCCACAGACTTTAATGGAAGTCGCCTCTAAGTCAGATCCTCATTTATATTAATGTGATTTGTATCCGACATTACAGGAAGATTACCTAGGCAAAGTCGCACGGCATGAAAGTTGTGCATCAAGTCTCATCAAAGTTGTACTAAAGTCACATTGAGGCGCCAGGAAGTCGCCCAGCAAAGTCGCACCGTAAGTCGTGCGACTTTCAGATTGCAGTAGTGTGAACCGAGCCTTAGGCTAGGTTCACACCTATGCAGTTTGCATTTGATCCGTTTCTGCAGTGCATTTTGCATTTTTGCACATGCGTTTTTGACGCGTTTTGCATTTTGTTTTGTTTTTTTTCTTGCTGCTAGGCAGATTTAAAACACAAAACGCATCAAAAATGCGGCAAAAACGCACCACATCCTTTTCTGCAGCATTTCCGTTGAAGTCTATAGAACCAAAAGAGCAACTTTCCCTGACCCTTTCCAAAAAATGCACCGGATGAAAACACGGAGATGTGAACCTGTCCCATAGGAAATCATGTGAAATGGACTGTAGTGTGTTTCTGCAAAACGCAACAGAAAACGCTTAGGTGTGTACCTACACTTAGGTGTCCGTTTATGACACACAGAATAGCTGCGATTCAGAGGATCACAGCTATTCTCTGGTCATTCACAGTTTATGACACCCAGGAGAATATGTTCAGCCCTTCTCTGGAGATCTGTGTTCTCCCTCCAGATTCTCCAGCCCAGAGCTGGAGAATCGGAGGGACCGAAAACTAAGCAGAGATAATTTACCTCTGTTTAGTAAACTGATCTTTTACTGTAATCTCGCGAGATTATAGTAAAATCAGCCGTTTTCCAGCGTTTGTAGACCGTTCTCCCTTCATTTGGAGAACTGATCTACATATGCTTCATAAACGGCATTCACAGGAGAACTGAGCAGCGATCTATTACTGCTGGTTCATAAACGAACACCTTTGACTTACTGGAGTCCGGATTTAATACTGGTGATCTTAGGTTGAAAACGCTTACCAGCTCCTCCTTCCTCCTCTCCAACGTGTGGCGCTGTTTTTCCCAGTCTGACGACCCTGGCGACAGTCTTTTCATGGATCCCTGACCGTACAGCCTCTTTTGAGCCTCTGCCTTCTGTTTGGCCAAATTTTTCTTTTTATCGCTCGCTCTACAGAAAAAAAGAAAGGACAAATTGAAGCTCGGTAATGAAATATTAAAACGCATGCTCATCTAACTTTATTACCAAAAAGTGCCTGCTGAGAAAAAGTCCCATGTGTGTTTACTTTCAAGGATAAAACAATTAGCATGTTTCTGTAACAGGTTTACAAATTACCTGCAGAACAACCAACAGATGATGCTTCTCTTTGTGCAACAAGCAAATCGGAATACTAAATAATACAATACAACAAAAGGCTAATGAACCATTACTACCCCATGTGCCAATTATCTAGATGAATTTCATGAAAGGATGGCTTGCGGGGAAAATGGCTGCTGATACAAATGCTGAAAATCACAGTTTCAAATGTCTCTTTGTGTATTAATTCATTCCTTTATTGCTGTATCTTTTCTATATTTAAAGTGTAAACTTAACTCTGCAACTGAAAAAAAAAAGAAACTTATGTACACAAACTGATGCTGATACAGTCTCTATTTTCATCTGGTGATTCAGCCAGCCACTGCCGTGACCGCAGTGCCATGCGACTTCCAGTGCAACTTTGCATATATAACAAAGTGTTGAGATGAACTTTTGATATTGACCAAATACTTATTTTCCACCATAATTTGCAAATAAACTTTCCAAATCAGCCAATATGATTGTCTGGATTTTTTTTTTCTCATTTTGTCTCTCATAGTTGAGGTCTACCTATGATTATTATTATTATTATTATTACTACGAGTTTATATAGCGCCAAAGGGTTTGCTCAGCGCTGTACAATAGGGGGGGACAATACATGGCACAGTACAACAAAGACAGACAGCGTACGAGGGGTAAGAGGGCCCTACTCTTACGAGCTTACAATCTAGGAGGGAGGGGGTAAAGGTACAGTAGGAAGTGGCTGGGGGGGATGAAGTGGTAGGAGGAATGAGGGAGGATGGCCGTTAGGTGAGGGTGGGGTAGGCTTCCCTGAAGAGATGGGTTTTGAGGGAGCGCCTGAATGTGAATAGAGAAGGCGACAGTCTGATGGATTGGGGCAGTGAGTTCCAGAGGATGGGGGAGGACCTGGAGAAGTCCTGCAGTCGTGCATGGGAGGAGGAGACCAGGGAGCAGGATAGAAGGAGGTCCTGTGAGGAGCGAAGGGTACGGGTAGGGTGGTACTGGTGATCAGATTGGTGAGGTAGTCAGGGGCAGTGTTGTGAACGGCTTTGTAGGTCAGGGTAAGGAGTTTAAATTTGATGCGTTGGGCAATCGGGAGCCAGTGGAGGGAGAGGCAGAGGGGGGTGGCAGAGGTGGAGCGGGTGGTAAGGTGGATGAGTCTGGCAGCTGAGTTCAGGATGGTCTGGAGCGGGGAGAGCCTGCACTTGGGTAGGCCAGTGAGGAGGGAGTTGCAGTAGTCAAGGCGTGAGATGATGAGGGAGTGTACTAGAAGTTTGGTGGTGTCTGGGGTGAGGAAGGAGCGGATCTTGGCAATGTTGCGAAGATGGAGCCTGCATGTGTTTGTGAGTGATTTGACATGCGGTTGGAGGGAGAGGTTCGCGTCAAGAATGACGCCAAGGACTTTGGCTTGCGGGGCGGAAGTGATAGTGGAGTTGTTGGTGATGATGGATAGGATGGGGGGGGGGGGTGTGGGCAGGGGGAAAGACGAGAAGCTCGGTTTTGGAGAGGTTAATCTTGAGGAAATGTAGCGACATCCAGTCTGAGATGTCATTTAGGAGGTGAGTGATGCGGGCGGAGATAGTGGGGGTGAGGTGAGGGGTGGAGAGGTAGATTTGGGTGTCGTCAGCATAGAGGTGATAGTTGAAGCCGTTGATGCCAATTACAGGCCTCTCTCATCTTTTTAAGTGGGTGAACTTGCACAATTGGTGGCTGACTAAATACTTTTTTGCCCCACTGTATATATATATATATATATATATCTCTCAGTCATTAAAAGACTGCAGCCTTGCTTTAATATCAGATACCTCTTCATGGTCCAGAAACCACTTTTCTACACATGTACAACTGCTGACGTCCAATCGGCCTCTGAAGCTAACAAGAAAGGAAGGAAATAGTTCCCTGTGTATTGCCATCTCCTGCAGCCCCCCTCCAGACACGCTCTTTACAGAAATGGAAGGTTGAAACCAGTTACCTTATGTTCAAAAGTTTTAACGCATTTAGCAAAACTCCTTTCTTCACATCATAGTCAATCTTCTGATCTGTTCCGAAGCTGGGAGCACGATTGATCTGGTGAGATGAAAATAGATGTGAAAAAAATTCAATTAAAAAAAAGGGGAAGTGATATTTCCAATAAGTCAATTGTACAAAGGAAACAAGGGGTCATGGCTCAAACAGAGGGTTAACTAGAAAGAGAAACTACAATGATTTTTGGCCAATTTTAGTTGAAGAATTTTTAAACTGATCTTTTGTTATTACTTTACAAAACATACAATATACAATATTTGTATCACAATTAGACATTTAAATTATGACAAAGGATTCCCAGAGCACTTTATAAAGGAAAAGCACAGCAGTGGTTTTCTACATTCAAGTAGACTTTCTTTCATTGAACCCTTGCATAGAGCCATTCAAAGAGAAGGGAGGATGAGGGTGTAGTCACTGCCCTGACTTTCTATTGTGTATGTAAATGCCAACTTCAGCGACTGAGATCAATTAAAATGTACCTATCTATTGCAGAAGGTAAGAAAAAAAAAAGTGTATAAAACACACAAAAAAGGAGCCTAAAGCTCCACTTACTTGCTACCTATAAGAATACATACCGTAATTTTCTTATACAATATTTCACATTTTCCTAATTAACCCCTTCCAAACAATCTGTTCCACCTTCAAGTTGCAGTGTTTATCTGCAGTGGCATCTATTTAACAATGTAACTGTCAGATACAGTTGCACTATTTAAAATATATTAGTAAATTCATTAAAAAATAGAACTGAACATTTTTTTTTTAAATATGCTTGCGCACTTTACCAGCCTATACTGGAAACAGAGCCAGTTTCTTTTATTTATTCAGTCTCCATTCAAACATTTTCACGTGATTTTTATTAATACATTTATACACGTTTTAAAGGGGAAAGCTAGTTACAAAGAGAAGAAATGTTCTCCCTGTGCCTGTGTGGGTTTACTCCGGGTACTCCGATTTCCTCCCACACTCCAAAGACACGATGGTAGGTTAATTGGTTCCTGTCTAAATTGGCCTAGTATGTGTATGTATGAATGTGAATTAGGGACCTTAGATTGTACGCTCCTTGAGGGTTATGGACTGATGTGAATGTACAATATATATGTAAAGCACTGTGTAAACCAACAGCGCTATATAAGTACCTGAAATAAATAAATAAAAGGCAAGAAACTCTGCAAAAAATGCACATTAGGCATGTTTTCAAGCATTTTTTCAGACACTCAAATTAAATTAAGAAGTGCAGGTACTTTTTGAGCTTTGAGCTTCAAACAGCTCAGCACTCAGGTATGATCAGGCACCATTGGGTACAATGGAAATCTTGATATTCAGGAAACCCACTTCAAAATGTTCAGGTGTGAATGGGATCTTATTGTTAAAGTAATTGTAAAGGCTTGCTTTTTTTACTTTTTTATATTTGAAATAATAAATATGTTATACTTACCTGCTCTGTGCAAAAGTGTTATACTTACCTGGCTTCTCCCCCCCCAAATAGTGCCCCCATAGTAAGATGCTTACTATGGGGACACTTGTGTGTGCTTGCTCCCAAGCCTCTGTGTGTCCATAAGACATAGTGGAGCTCGGCCTCGCCCCCCACTTCCTTCTCACTGGCTGTGATTGAGAGCAGAAGGTGCCTATGGCTCCCGCTGCTGTATCCAAGCCAATGAGGAGAGAGAGAGACAAGAGAGCCTCAGTTCTCGTGCACATTGCTTTATCCAGATTGGGTTTAGGTATGTATATAGGAGGTGCAGCTCCCCCCGAGCTGCATACAGAAGTTTTTTTACCTTACTGCATAGAGTTCAGTAAAGTAAAAAACCTTCTGACTTTACAATCATTTTAAGTTGAGCGACACATACTGATGCTGGAAAATTTGGCCTGGGCATCCAGGCATAAATGGCCTTTGCTTAGAAAAAGGTATAAAAAAATGTTTTTTAAAATTTGTAAGTTTTTAGCCCTGATCGTAACAAAGAAAGATATAAATATAAATAATTAACATTACCATTTGAACATTATATTGCATCAAATGTCACAAACAGCCCACCAAAGAAACATACGATAGGCTTAATTCTCTTATCTATAAATCTATTTAGCTTTCAATTCTCATTGGCTCATAATGATGGAAATAACATAGTACATACATAGTTAGTCTGGCTGAAAAAAGACAAAAAAGTCCATCCAGTTAAACTACAAAAAAAAAAAAGTTATAATCCTATACACACAGTTGACCCGGAGGAAGGCAAAAAAACCCAGCAAAGCACAATCCAATTTTCTCCTGCAGTGGAAAAAAATTCCTTCCTGATCCCCCGAGAGGCTATCGGATATTCCCTGGATCAACGTTACCTATAAATGTTAGTATCCAGTTATATTCTGTGTATCTAGGAAAGAATCCAGGCCTTTTTCAAAGCAATCCACTGAGCTGGCCAGAACCAACTCTTGAGGGAGCCTATTCCACATTTTCACAGCTCTCACTGTGAAGAAACCTTTCCGTGTTTGGATAAATTTCTTTTCCTCCAGAAGTAAAGAGTGCCCCCTTGTCCTCTGTGATGACCTCAGGGTGAATAACGCTACACCGAGTTCACTATATGAACCACTGATGTATTTATACATGGAGATCATATCCCCCTTATGTATTATACATGGAGATCATATCCCCCTTATGTATTATACATGGAGATCATATCCCCCCTTATGTATTATACATGGAGATCATATCCCCCCTTATGTATTATACATGGAGAACATATCCCCCTTATGTATTATACATGGAGATCATATCCCCCTTATGTATTATACATGGAGATCATATCCCCCCCCTTATGTATTATACATGGAGATCATATCCCCCCCCTTATGTATTATACATGGTGATCATATCCCCCCTTATGTATTATACATGGTGATCATATCCCCCCTTATGTATTATACATGGTGATCATATCCCCCCTTATGTATTATACATGGAGATCATATCCCCCCCTTATGTATTATACATGGTGATCATATCCCCCCTTATGTATTATACATGGAGATCATATCCCCCCCTTATGTATTATACATGGAGATCATATCCCCCCCTTATGTATTATACATGGTGATCATATCCCCCCTTATGTATTATACATGGTGATCATATCCCCCCCTTATGTATTATACATGGTGATCATATCCCCCCTTATGTATTATACATGGTGATCATATCCCCCCTTATGTATTATACATGGTGATCATATCCCCCCCTTATGTATTATACATGGTGATCATATCCCCCCCTATGTATTATACATGGAGATCATGTCCCCCCTTATGTATTATACATGGAGATCATATCCCCCTTATGTATTATACATGGAGATCATATCCCCCATTATGTATTATACATGGTGATCATATCCCCCTTATGTATTATACATGGTGATCATATCCCCCCCCTTATGTATTATACATGGAGATCATATCCCCCCTTATGTATTATACATGGAGATCATATCCCCCTTATGTATTATACATGGAGATCATATCCCCCCTCATGTATTATACATGGAGATCATATCCCCCCTCATGTATTATACATGGAGATCATATCCCCCCTTATGTATTATACATGGTGATCATATCACCCCTTATGTATTATACATGGAGATCATATCCCCCCCTTATGTATTATACATGGAGATCATATCCCCCCTTATGTATTATATATGGAGATCATATCCCCCCTTATGTATTATACATGGAGATCATATCACCCCTTATGTATTATACATGCAGATCATATCCCCCCTTATGTATTATACATGGAGATCATATCCTCCCCTTATGTATTATACATGGAGATCATATCCCCCTTTATGTATTATACATGGAGATCATATCCCCCCTTATGTATTATACATGGTGATCATATCCCCCCTTAATCTCCTCTGCTCAAGAGAATAAATTCAGTTCCTCTGATTCTTCCTCATAGCTGAGCTCCTCCATGCTTCTTATCAGTTTGGTTGCCCTTCTCTGTACTTTCTCCGGTTCCCCAATGTCCTTTTTGTGACTTGGTGCCCAAAACTGAACTGCATATTCCAGATGAGGTATTACTAATGATTTGTACCGGGGTAATATGATATCTCTCTCTCTGGAGTCTATACCTATTTTAATACAAGAGAGGATTTTGCTCGCTTTAGAATCCACAGCTTGGCATTGCATGCCATTATTAAGCTTGTGATCTACCAGAACCCCCAGATCCTTCTCCACCATTGATTCCCCCAGTTGTACCCCCCCTAGTATGTATGATGCATGCATATTCTTAGCCCCCAAGTGCATCACCTTACATTTATCAACATTAAAGCTCATTTGTCACATAACTTACAAGTATGAAAAGAGATCACAATAGTTTAGTAGATTGAGATTTATATTACTATTTAGTATGCATGTTATACATTAATATAAGATATCCATGCTATGTTAGATGCATTCTGGATACAAAACCTTTCAACACATGCAGTTCAGAGGAGGTTCAGTGTCAGGAACCAAAGGAAATTTCCAGTACCAGGTATGGAGGAGCATGTGACCCACTCCATAAGTTAGCAATGAGCCAATCAGTGCCGCCACATGGAGAGTCCTTGGTCTTTGTGAGCTACAGGACACACCAGTGACTAAGCAAACATTGGGTGGAACCACAGCACTCATCCAACAGACCTGGAAGTGTTGGGTTCCAGTGGTGGCCATAGCTCTTCGAGAGAGCAAAGATCAGAGATGCCATCCACTACAATGGTAGCCAGTTCAGGGTAACAACCCTACAGTGCATTCACTGCAAAACAAACAGTGTTGTCACCCTGCTACAGGAAGTTTAAGGTATATCTAAAGCCAAAATGTATTTTTCATTTTGGACAGATTAGGAGAGGGTCAATCTGCTGTTATTTTTTTTTTTCCACCTGTATCTTCTTAGGGAGATTTTGTTTTACTTCCTAACCTGCAGACTCAACAGGAAGTGAGCGGATATCTCAATGTAAAACCCCTTTTAGACAGTTGTCACAGGAGCAATTGTACCCATTGGAAGATTC